AGACGGATCTTTGGGACTTTGCATTCCTGGGCCCTCTCCCAAGACTCAGCTTCTCCCCTTAGGATGACCAGCTCCTGGATGATGGCAAGACACTAGGCGAGTGCGGCTTTACCAGCCAGACGGCGCGGCCACAGGCCCCAGCCACGGTGGGGCTGGCCTTCCGTGCAGGTGAGAAGAACTGGGCTGGGTGGCAGCCAGGTGGAGTGGGAACAGCCAAAGGGCCTGCCAGGCAGTATGTTCCCAGGCCACAGAAGGTAGGCAACACCCTTTGACAGTGCATGCTTGTTTCCAGGTAAAATACAAGCACACAAGAGATGCTCATAGGAGGTGAAGCTTACTTAGCAAGACCTGAGGTCCCCTAGTCAAGACACCAGCTCACGTTTAGAGGGCTTTTCCAACGCCTGGCCCTGCACTCTGATGATACTTTCATTGTCTCATCTGACCTTGGTGACCCTGGGAGGTCGCTGCCATCCTCTGCACGTTTGTCAGATGAGAACACTGAGGTTTGCCAGCAGTCACCTGGGAGCCACAGTTGACATGTGGGCTGCTGGGCCGTGCACGACTGCATGTGTCTGCAGTGCACGGTTTAATCCCCTTGCACCTCTGGTTGAGACTCTGATTGCACCACATTTAAGGATGAGTAAAGTGAGCAGGGTGCTGGGACTGCCAAGTCCAGGACCCCACTCAAAAAGTATGCACTTTTCTCAACACACCCCAACCCACTCAAGCTTTAGAAACTGGAGGGCTCTGAAGTAGATTTTAATGCATCTCTCTCCATCCAAAAAAATGGAAGTGATGATTTTAAGTTTTGTTTTTACTTATTTATTGGTTAAGAGAGATTTCTGTTATAGGGCATATGCTACGCTCACTGGAAAGACAGAAAGAAATCACTTCCTAGGGGGGATGACCACACCACAATCCCTTCTCCATTCTCTTCTCAGGATCTTGGGCACACACGCACACGCGCCTGGTGTGAGGTTTAAGCTGCCAGGTCCAGGACTTGAACCATGGTTGACTACATGGGAGTCCAGTGGCATAACCATTACACCATCTACTGGTCCCACAAGGAATTATTTTTCTGCATTCTTGTAAGGAAGCAGAGCAAGGGTGGAGAAGGAAGAGTCTGGCCCTAGGTATATTTTACAGTTCCATAAAGGTAATGTTTTAGGCTTTGGCCTCAGCAGCTGTGTCCTCAGGCCGTTACCGTGTGCTCCTGGCCTGGAGTTCCCTTTTCTGTGAAGGGGTATGATAGGGCTGGCGTCCCAGGAAGACACCATGAACCCTATGCAGCCCAGACCCTACCTGCTGTTAGTATTCCAGGGTTCTTTTTGCTGCTGGAGGCAAGTATGGGACTGGTGTAGATGCCCCTGGGGCATGCCTCTACAAGGTGGCCTGAGTGGGCAAGTGAGGGCTGAAAGCACACTTGGCCTGCTTCCTTAGCCAACTGGGCTACACTATCCCAGAAGTAACCCTTTTGTCTGCTTTGAACAAAGGCATCTTACAGACTTGTGACTTAGGTGTTGATAGACTTGAGAGATGAGAATATGAAAGCAGGGTCAGCCGGTGGTATGACGGTTAAGGCAGTTGGATCCCGTGTGGGGGAGTCCTGGACCCAGTGGCTTGAAAACATACAAGGCATGTGCGCATACATGCCCAAAATCCTGAGAGGATGGTATGGCCATCCCTCCAAGGGGTGACTTCTTACTCCCCCACCCATCTCTATCTATGTCTGTCCCCTGTAACAAACTGAGACAAAGTGAAAGATAAAGGAAATGACTTGTTTATTCCCACAACATCCAGTATAGCATCAGGTCCTTCAGGCATCTGACAGCTTTCTTGATGGGCCAGTGTGGGCTGGCAGGTCACTGCTTCTTCACAAAGTACTTGTGAAAACATTTCTGGGGGCAGCTCAGCCAGTCAGCATACAGGTTCCTGGGTCTTACTGGGTACCCTACCACCTGCCACTCAATTTCCATGCAGAAGGATAAGGCTCCAAACTGCATTTAAGCGATATGACTTATTATCATTTTTTAAAGATTTGGGGACCAGCAGTTAGTGTAATGGCTGTGTCACTGAACTCCCATGTAGCCGACCGCAGTTTGAGTCCTGGACCTGGTGGCCTAAACTCAAGCCGGGTGCGTGTGAGTGCATGTCCAAGATCCTGAGAAGAGAATGGAGAAGGGGTTGTGGCCTGGCCATCCCCCTCTAGGGGTGATTTTTCGCTTTCTCTCTGTCTCTTTCTGGCAAGTGCATGCACCCTATAGCAAAAACCTCTCAAGAAAAAAAAAAAATTTACTCATTTATTTTAACCAGAGAGAGAAACTGAGAAAGCAAGCTACCAGCCCCAGGACTCGAACTGTGGTCAGCCATGTGGGAATATCCAGCTCCATAACTACCACGCCACCTACTGGTTCCTATTATCTTTGGTTTTTTTTAATTTCTAGAGATTGAGAGGGAAGTGAGAAAGCAAGCCACTAGGTCTGTGACTCAACCACAGTCGGCCATTTGGAAGTCCAGTGCCCTTAACTACCTGCCAGCCCCCTAAGATGTGTTAACTGTACTTTCCAGACTGAGCTCCAAAGAATCAGAAGTGGCTTAGCTGAGAGCTGTCACTTGGTCAGGACCTCAGTACTGGCACTAGGATGTACTCAGGGCTGTCACGTGTCACAGGATGCTCAGTAACCACTCTGGCCCTACCAACTAGATAGTAACTACAGCCCCCACCAGCACAGCTGTGACAACTGAAACGGTCTTCAGACATGCCAGCTTTCCCTGAGGGGACCTAGTCAGTTGAAAACCCTGAGCCAGATGGAGGGGAGGGTATCTCAGGTAGAAGGAAGTGCAGTAGAGCTGTGAGTGGGTTCATTTGCTGTGAAAGAACAAGGAGACAGCCTGCCTTTCTGGAGCTGTTTAGTGGGGAAAGCAGCTAGTAAAGAAAAATGGCAACTTCAGCTAGTGAGAGTCCTCCCAAGGCAGTGCCCAGGGTGCTGGGATGGTGACGTAGAGGGCTGGGGAAAGTTACTCTGAGGTGGTGACATCTGAATTGAACCCTGAAGTCCCAGAAGCAGCCAGCCATTGAGTGGCAGGTGTTGGGACCAGCAAGTACAAAGGCCCTGAGGCAGGAAAGACCTGGGTGTGGAAACAGCAGCCTAGAGGGAGACTGGGCTAGTAATACTGGCACTTGAGGCTTTGTTCAGATGATCGGCAGTTCTCTGGAAGTTTTTAAATTACTGGCTGGGGACCAGCAGATGGCGTAATGGTTACAATGCTGGACTCCCGTGATTAGTCTCAGACCCTATGGCTTGAAACTCACCCGGGTGCTTGTGCATGCGTGTATGCCTAAAGTCTCAGGAGAGCAGAGAAGGGATTGCAGCGTGGACCCTGGGGGTTGATTTCTTGCTGTCTCTGCATCTCTGCCCTATAGCAAAAATCTCTTTTAAAAAAAAAAGCTAAATTAAAATCACTGGCTGGGCCAGAATATGGCACCATGGTTGAGTCACTGGACTCCTACATGGCTGACTAGTGGCTTTCTGTCTCTGGTGAGCTCATGTACCCTACAGAAAATTTTTAATAGAATGATTTTATTAAAAAATCACTGCAGGCAGGAACCAGCAGTTAGCGTAATGGCTATGTAGCTGGACTCCCATGTAGTTGACCACGGTTCGCGTCCCGGGCCCGGTGGCTTAAAACTCACGCTGGGCATGTGTGCGTGCGTGCCCAAGATCCCGAGAGGAGAATGGAGAAGGGATTGCGGCGTGACCATCCCCCTGGGGGGTGATTTCTCGCTTTCTGTCTCTGTCTCTCTGGTGAACGCATGCGCCCTATAGCGAAAATCTCTCTCTCAAAAAAAAAAATCACTGCAGGCTAGCAGGTAGCACAATGTCCAAGGGGCCGGACTGCCACGTGGCCAAACAGTGGTTCAAAGTCCTAGGATGCAGTGACATGAAAATCACTTTGGGTATGTGCCCAAAATGCTGGGAATGGAGAAGGGGTTATGGTGTGGTCATTTACCCTGGGAGGTGACCAACCCCCTCCTGCAGTAATTGCCTTCTGCTTGGTGGAGAAGGGATTAAGATGACAGACATTCTGCATGAAGGGTGATGCTGGGGCTGTGGATACAGAAGCAGGCAGGTAAAGCCAGCCTGTCTGGGGCTCACTGAACATGGAAAGTGAGAGAAAGGGTCCAAGAGTTGGGGAGTCCTGGTCAGGCTGGGATGTGAAAGAGGTCCTGGTGGGGCAGTCAGGCACTAGATAGAGGTTAGAGCTAGAGGAGCAGCAGCTTGGGTGGGCGTTTGCATGCACATCACCAAAAGCTAGATTATTATTGGTGACCACCAAAGCCCCACCTGGGGTGAGGTGCCTCCTCCAGCTCTGCCTCTCCCCAACAGATGAGACTTTTGAGGCTCTCCGCATCGAGCCCTTCTCCAGCCCCCCGGAGCTGCCTGACGTAATGAAGCCCCAAGACTCAGGAAGCAGTGCGAACGAACAAGCTGTACAGTGAGGGCCCTTGGCCTGTCCTTTAGAGGCCAAATTCCCTCCCCCCAATAAAAAAGATTTGGGTGTCTGCCTGGTTGCTGCCTCTTTCTCTGTATCCTCTTGTCCCTGCCTCCAGGCAATCACCTCCCTGGGATGGGTACTATCTCCCATGAGGATCTTCAAGCTCTTGCTTAGGCCTTTTCTGATTCTTGGCCTAGCCTGTTCCTCAGAGATGCCTTGGGGGCCTGGGCTGCCTTGAGGGCCCAAATAACCCACCAGATAGCTCCAGGGAGAGCAATCCAGAGCCTTGGGTGGGGACACAGACTATAGCTTTCTTCCTATACTGTCACAGCCTCCAGGAGCCCTGGTCCTGGTCTAAGTCTTCTGGGCCGGAGTCAGGCCAGGAGCAGAAGTTTCGCCAGAGCCCTGGGGGATCCATGACCTAAGTGCCCCACACAGGTTTTCCAAGTTCCTCCCAGATTTGCAAGCTCAGTCAAAAGTGGCTCCTATCATCTGCTCTCCGCACTTGAATAAATAATATATAGACCCAAGTCCTGCATTTCTCATTTTTATTTGACAGAAAAAGTTGCTCTTGCTGTACAGATTTAAAAAAACAAAAATGCCTTTAAGAAACGTGAAGAAATTTTGGGGGGAGGGTCCACCACCTTACGGGGGGTGGGGAGCAGTAGGGGCCAATTAATTCCAACTGCTGCCCCTTCCTTCCAAGAGCCCCTCACATGGAACTTCCCAAATCCTAAACCATCAACCCCTCCCCCAGGAACTTGGGGATATAGGGAAACCACACCTCCCAGGCCCTATAGGGAATCCCAGGTGTCCTAAACTGCATCCTCCCCTCAAACTCCCATCCACGCATTCCCTCCCACCCTAAACCCCCAAAAACACGTGAACCAGAAAAAACTCACAGAGATAAACATTTCACAGGAACAAAGAAAAAAGGGGGGAGGGAAACAGGGAGCCCTCCCCAAAAATGCTGCCAGGGTTTTAGGGGGTGGCCAGACAAGGACCCCTCCCGTGGCTTTGCTGGGGGAAAAAGGACACTCCCTGTGGCTCCAGAGTATGGGGTGTGGTGGAGTTCCCCAAGGTGATTATGGAGACCTGTGAAGGAGAAGTGGAGATCAATGCAGAGCCCAAAGTCCTCAGGTTTAGCTTTTTTAATCCCTCATAAGATGCCCTCCACCCCACACCACCAGCTGAGGGGGAGTGGCATGTCTGGAGGGGACACACCTGGAGGAGTGGTGTCGCGTGGGCCTAGGGCTAGGTGTCTCCCTCCTGCGCTTGTGGCCTGGGGAGCGGCTATCCCCACGCTGGCCTCTCCGGGAAGCCCGCTCACTGCTGCTGCAATGACACAGGACACCAACTATCAAGGGCAGCAACCTCAGGTACCAGAGCCCCAACTCGACAGCAGCAGTGCCCAGCCCGGCTGGGTGCTCACACCTGGTGATGGACCTACCTCTGCTGGTCCCGTGGTGAGGGCTGAGGCGAAGGACGGCGACGCTCTACAGGTGAGTAGCTGAGGGACCGGGAGTCCCGAAGAGAGTCTATTGGCTTCCGAGGGCTACGGGACCTGGGGAGCAGAGCAGATTCCATGGTACCACACCCTTCCAAACCCACCAGCCAGCACTCAGGACCACCCACCCAGGTCCTGACCACCACACCTCACACCACGCAGGGCCAGCCTCAAACCCACCTTTGTCTGCTTGCTCACCCATCCGCCCGCACACCATCCACCGAGTGCCCCAGAGGGCAGGGCACAGGGTGCAGCGGGGGATGCAAAGATAAAGACAGTCCCTGCCCTTGGAGGAGCTCAGTCTGGTAGAGGGCCAACAAGGGAGGCACGCATGGCCCCATGTGTGGGAAGCAGCCCCGCAAGGATGGATGTGCACGAGTCTGGGGACTCAGGGCAGGTGGGAGGGCATGGGGCAGGGCAGGAAAGGGGCAGGGCAGTCTTCTCGAAGGTGCGGTTTGAGCGGAGTCTTGCAGAACGAGGAGTTCACCAGGCGGACAAGGAAATTCCAGGCAGAAGGAACAGCATGTCCAAAGGCATGGGGCTCTCCTTAGACTGCAAGGCGCTGGGTATGGCTGGAGCACAGGGCATGTGTGGGGGGCGGGCAGGAGAGGAGAACACAGGGCGGGCAAGGCCAGTTGGTGAAGAGCCTCACACGCCATTCCCGCAGAGGTGGGGCTTTATCCTGCAGGCCACAGGGCGTCCCGGAAGGATTTGTGGAGTGGAGGGAAGTAACCAGGTGTGCGTTTTAGAAAGATCCCTCTGGCTACGTGTGGAAGAGAATGGCGTGGAGGCAGGGAGACAGGGAGGAGGCTGTGGACAGAGTCGGGAGATGACGACGGTGGCCAGACCAGAGCCCTGGCAGCAGCAATGGGGAGACTTCAAGCTAGAATCCCTGGGACCAGGCTGTATATCGGGGAAGGCAGAGGAAGAAACCTAGGACTCCCCAATTCCAGCATGAGCACCCACTTGATGGAGCAGGCTTTTGACAGGGCACAGTGGAATAGGTAGGGGAAGAGGAGTGTGCCCAACTCCTCCCATACAATCAGACACCAGAGTTCACCTGAGACACTCCCGGAGGGATCTCACAGCCCAGGGCCCTGCTCTGGACAAGACATCTCCCCCCCCCCATTTATCTCAGGTAAGGCAGCACTCACCTCCGCTCACCAGGGGGTGGCTTCTTAGGGCTTGCAGGTTTGGGCAAGGCCTGGGGACCAGGCTTAGCAGGGGAGGGGGAAGAGGAAGAGGAGGAAGAGGAGGAGGAGGAGGAAGAGGAGGAGGAGGAGGAGGAAGAGGAAGAGGAGGAGGAGGAGGAGGAAGAGGAAGAGGAGGAGGAACTGGAGCTGGAACTGCTGGAACGCCTCTTCCGCTTGGCTGGAGTGGGCTCTGGAGGACGACCCTCCCGAACCACCTCTGGTGCTGGGGTCGGGGTGGGTACCCTGTGGAAGAAAAGGAGAGTCACAAGGAGACAAACTGCCCCAGCCCCAACCCTACCTTCCTTGGCCTGGAGGAATGGCAGTGGGGGAGGGGTGCCTGAGGAGGCCTGGGAACTCAAGGAGCCAGAGCCGGTGAGCGCATTCTCTGGAGAGCATTGGCCCGAGTTGACCCAACCTCTGCTAACACAAGCAACAGGCTGGGGCCCGCAGCACAAGGGATCAAGGTTAAACCTCAAGAATGTCCCTGATCGAGGAATAAGGCCTCTGGGCTCAGGTGTAGAAGCTGAAGCTGGGTGGTCTCCTTCCTCGGAGAGCCGCAGCTTGGGGAGGCCCCTGTGAGTGCAGGTTGGCTGGGGTAGGGGCCGTCCTGCCTGGAGGCAGGGAGAGGGATGGGATGACCTCTGAAGATCCTTCCAGCCCAGGGAGTTCCTCTTGAGGTCTAACTGCCATCCCTCCTGCTGTAAAATTAAGTCCATTTCCTCTAGTTCTGTCCTCTGTAGAGACGGAAAACTTATCATTATCCTCTAAAGAATTAACCTTTGGAGACTTTTATCTGCCCCAATCCTCCCCCCTTAGCCCCCATCCCAGCATTCTCTTATGCCCCCAGCTTGAGGGTCAAGGGCCCTCATTACCTCTTCAGAGCAAAGAACATGATTTCTCCCTCCCCACTCCCCTGCCTCATCCCCAGTACTTTAACCCCCTAGGTTTCCGAAAGTTCAGTTCTCTTACCTCTTCAGTGCCACCTCAGGTTGAGTGGGAAGGCTAGAGCCTTCCGAGTCGCTAGAACTGGAGCCAGAGGAAGAGGAGGAGCTTGATGATGAGGAGGAGGAAGAGGAGGAAGAGCTCGAGGATGAGGATGATGATGAAGAGCTCCGCCGCTCCTTTGCTGGCTGCAGGGCGGCCAATGCAGAAGGTTGCTGGGCCCCAGTAGAAGCAGGTGGCTCCCCATCCTCAGGATGGGACAGCCCGGAAGCAGGGCCAGAGAGCATACCATTGTGGTCACCAGCAGAGGACGTAGCCTTTGCCACTGTCCCAGAAGAAAGGGACTGAGACCCTGCTACAGAGGTGGTCTGGGCCATCAAAGTACGGGACTGGTCTGAAAAAGCAGATGGCGCAGGGGACCTAGGCTGATCCTGAGCTGGAGGGAGAAGAGATTGCGAGGGGGCCTGGGCCATTCTAGAGACAGGGGAAGGAGCCCGCTCAGAGGTCATTCTAGAGTGGCTCGGGGCAGATGGTGGTGTCCTGGACCTAGCTCGGTCAAGAAGCGGTGGTGAGGCCCTGCCGCTAACACGCTCATAGGCAGAAAGGGGGACCCTGGGGCTGGTGAGGTTTGCACCAGACAATGCTGGAGCCATCCTAGCACTGGTGAGACTTGCAGGGGCCAAGGCAGCAGGAGTTCTGGAGCTGGCAATATTCACAGGAGCTGTGGCATGTGCAGATCGAGGACCCACCAGGTTAGCAGGAGCGGCTGCCTGTGGCGTTCTGGAGCTGGAGGGGTAACTTGCAGCCGTTGGGGGCGTGCCAGAACCTGTGAGACTTAGAGCTGCCAAGGCAGCTGGGGTTCTGGCTCCTGCCAGGTTCACAGCTGGGGCGGTGGGGGTGCGTGGGTCTGCAAGGTTCACAGTTGAAGGTGCCACTGCTGTTCTGGGGCTGGCCAAGTTCATAGCTGCTGCTGCAGCTGGTGTTCGTGAGTCAGCCAGATTTACTGCTGTTGGGATAGCAGGTGTCCTGGCACTGGCTAGGTTCATGGCTGCTGCAGAGGGAGGCAGGAAATTCGCGGGGAGGG